TTCGTAACGAAGGTCTGTGGTATATTTTAGAATATATAATCTGAAAGAGGAAACATTTCTCTACAAAATGCACGGCCAAATGATATTTTAACCGTGAAGGTGATGGAACGGCCATCAAATCTTTTACAGGGACCAGAAAATTTTTTTGGTCCCGATGCCCATCTCTAATCAGTCTGCATACATATGTTTGTTTGTTTTCTTGTTAAAAATATCACTTTTTTTCGTTTTCATGGATCTTTCAGAAAATTTGACTTTAGAGATGAAAAAAACCCGGTACTAAAAGCGAAAGAACAGGCTCGAGCCTACCATGTGCTTTTGTAAAAATAGAATTTTAAACAAAAATCGAAATGTTAGATAACTGACAATTTTTTTTTTGTATGTCATACATATTTGTGTTTACAAAATAATACAAAACATTTTACTCTAATATAAAAATAGTTATAGAAAAATAAGAGATAATTCACCTAATAAAAATGAAAGAGAGAGAAAGAGAAATTTAACAATCAGTTGTATCAGTGAAATTTCGAATAATTTTTGTTCGATAATTTTTTTTATTTTGATTACGTCTTTTCCAAATAGGTGATGGACTTCTTGTTTCATCATTTTGATAAACAAAAGTGGCCGTAAGTGTATGACACGATTTACTTAACGGTGTATCCTTATCAACTATTATTCTCGTTGGAGATGATGATGATAATATTTCAGAATTTCTATTGTTTAATGGTGATTTACAAGTTTCTCTCCATCGAATTGATGATGTGGATGAAAACTGTCCATAGTATCTAATACAATTATTTATTGTATTAATAAATGTGTCTTTCTCGTCTTCATTTCTACAATGAAATAAAAAAAAGAGATTTAAGTTAGATAAAAAAAATTGAACTCTTACTTATTAGCCAATATAAAATGTATTCTATTTACATGTATTAACTCCCAAACAAATAATGGATCATTCGTAGATTTAATTTGTCTCATATCAACAATTTGAATTTGTTCAATCGGTATAAAATAAGCAAAACGATCTATTTTAATTTGTTGATCCTTTGAATATAAAAACAATATTTATCATTACATTTTTCTATATTTATTCATTACTTTTTTTTTATTCTTATTAATTTCACGACATAGAATAATAATACCATTACGAAATATAAAACATAATGTTTCTAATTGATGTTTTGTTTTTTGTTGTATAACAAAATCATCAATATTTATCCATTCAATTTCACCATAGGCAAGAAGATCAGGTAATGTTAATTGTAATGTCTGTAATATCATTAAAACATAAGAATATTAAAATTATGATTGATAAAAGAGAAAACAAAAAAATGAAGATTTCTATACCATTTTATTTTCATTACTGTATCGTTTCATTATTTGTTCAAAACATTGACCATATTCTTCATAAATTGTTTGCATATCATTCATATATTGTGCCACATCATTCATAGTATCAATAGCTTTAGATAATTTTAATTTTTCTATAGAATTAACATCTGTATACATCAACATTTGTTTTAATAATAATGGATATTTTAAAATACGTTGAACAGGTTTAATTAGATAAGATTCAAATGATGATGAATGTTGATGACGTGGATTACGAGCATCAAAAAATGCTTTTAACTTTGGATTTTGTTCTACAAACATATAAAAACATACAAAATATGAATAATAAATGTATGAAAATAAAACAAACCATTTTCTAGTAAACGATGAATACATAAATGCATAGCACAAAATGTTGAATACATTTTAAAATGACTGGCATAATGCAAAAATGTATCGGCAATTGATAATAAAATATCCTAAAATAAAATAACGTATATTTTTATAGAGAGTATTTTTAAATCTATCACGAACTTGAAATTCATTTGAAATATTGTAAGCTAACACATCTGTGGGTACAGAATTTTCTAAACATTTGAGAAATTTCACTTGTAATTGTGTTATTGATTGTACACTAATATACAAAGATTCAATAGGATCGGATGGTAACAATGATTCATCTCTTAATGGTCCAATGTAGCGTTCAAGCAAACGTTCCATATCCTATAAAATACTTATTTAAAGATTATTCTAAACAGTTTAGTTCTTTGATATATACCTGTACATAGGTTCTCTCTGTTTGAAGCAATTCAAAAATAACTTTTCTTAATCGTTGTGCATTCGACAAAGCTTTAATTCTTGGTTCATTCAATATTGTTTGTTCATTTAATGAATGTTCATCATAAATTGGTCTACAATATCCAGATACTTCTTCAACATTCTGAAAAATAACAATATCAAAATGATAGATAGATGATATAGATAGAAACACAAACTTTGAGTAAAAGATCAACAGGTGGTGAAGATAAGGATATATGTTGAAATTGATTGTGATTCTCCAAATATTTATTGTACTCATCATTATCACTGTCTAATAAACTACCAGCTAAAATAGAAGCATCAAAATTAGACAAAATGATAAAATATTTTTAGTTAATTACATTTTAAATAGTCAATTGGTTTAGGTACAGTGAGCTGTTTTAAAACTTGTCGTGATAAACGTTGATTAAAAATTGATGGTGGTGGAGGACAAATTAAAGTTTGTATCATTGAATCAGCTAAGATCATTGCTGAATTAGCAAATGGATGAGAAGATCTAGAAATAAAAAAAAAGAAATAGTTAATATTAATATAATAATAAATAGTATTTTTAGTCAAATTGACTATACCTTGAAGAACGTATAATTAATACCGTTGATCCATTTTCAAATTGTTCATCAATCATAGCTAAATCCATGTGTTGTACAACAAAATTATTGATAAGAACAATTTCATCTCCAGATTGTATACCTAGAAGAAAAGACAATAATGAATAGATTTTTGACTAATAAAAAAAAAAAAATGATAATAAACGAACCCAATTTTTCTGCTTCACTTTCATTTTGAACATTTGATACAAATATTTGTAAACAATTTTCACGATCATTTTTATCATTTAATTCTGTATCAAGTTCTAATCCGGATATTAAATAATATTTTAATGTAACTTGATAGAATATCTTTCGACATATTTCAATACTTGTATAATGCTATATATATATATATATATATATATAAAATAGAGAGAGAGAGTGAGTGAGATAAATACTATGAATGTTAAAATACAAACTTACTAATGTGTTTAATTTTTCACTTTTCTTTGGTACAAATAAATTATTATTATGATTAAATTGTAAATAATAATCATCTGTTTGTAAACCAAGACGATTTGTTACACATTTCAATAGTTCATTCACTGTTATTGATTTAGTAATTGAAATAAGTGTTTTCTAAACATTAATTTTATTTATTATCTCATACGATTGTTTATAATAAAATAGAGAAAATTATTAACTAACCATCATTGGATTATTACAAGTAATCATTTGTACGATAGTGGATGATTCTGTTGAAGAAATGCCACTTGTTACATTTCTAAAATATTATATAACATTACAGTAAATCTTAAGGAAGGGTCTTCAATTTTCATTATAATTCATATTAAATATTACGTTGCAAATATTTACCTTTCTTTTTCCAAAAAACATTTTGTCAATTGTCCATTTGTATTTGAATTTCGGCGAGTTTTAATATCACATTTGATATTCGATAATCCTTGTTTCCTTGTCGTGATACACGAATAAAAACTACATGGAGTAAATGAGCCAAGTTTATTTAATGTTGTTTTTGTTCCTGAACAAGCATGAATTAATAAATCCTATAAAACAAAATATAGAAGATTTCACTATATCTTGTTGGATAATAAAAAAGAGACATTCTTTCTACTTTTGGATTTGGTAAATCTTTGTCATTTAATGCGGCTAAATAACATTTTTGACGAAATAAATCAACATGAAATTCTTCTAAATTTTTTTCCCATAATTCAATTTGTTTTGAAATTATTTGTCGAACTTTTGTTGTTGTTGATACTTGTAATTGTAATTCACCTAATTTATGCATAGTATTTTCATGTTTAATTAATTTTTCTAATTTATGTATATTTCGTTTTAATTCTTTAACAATATTTTGATGACGAAAATGATTATTTTGTGCACATGTACGATGAATAAATTTGATCCAGTTATCTGTTTCAGTCTGATTAATTGGCTATAATATAAAGTGTAGAATAGTGAAAATTTTAATAATTGAAAAAAAGTCTGACTCTTATTATACCTGAAAATAATATTGATCACCAGTTGATGTTGCTAGTGAGAAAACATGATCACGTTTTGGATATTCGGGTATTGAATAACATAGACAATCTCGAATGTCTAGAAAGAAAATATGTTTATTAATAGAATGATATGACCATCAATATGTGTACCACATTAAAGAGGCAAAAAAATGTATATATCTCTAAGTATCTATGTATGACATCGATCTATAGGTCTTTTTTACTTCTTTTTCTTTTTTAACCTTGATTTAAAGTACACACATGTCTATGATTATCGGACTCTAACAGGGGAAAAATTGAATTCATTAAATAATGATGACAAAAAAATGATCATTGTAGAAGAAAAGAAAAAAAAGAGTAATCTGGATTGCATATGTATTCTTTTCTATTATATCTTACCAATCGATTGTTTTGAATTAATATGTTCATCGATATCCGAATAGTCAGAATATAAAAGGAGATCTTGTCCTTTCAAACAAATCCAGTAACGTTTCCATTTACGATTTGAGGCTAATTCAACGCGTTTTCGTTGATTTGTTAACCAATGTTTAACATTTAACCATCTAAAATCTCATAATCAATAAAAATATGCCCAAAAATAGCCACATTATATTTTACCCAGCTTTTTTAAGTAAACTACTATCATGTATTGTTGTTGAATCATAATTACTATTGTATATTGGAATACTGATAACATTTGATGGAAATTGTTTTAATTCAGAATTACTGTTCTCATTACTACTGCTACTACTACTGCTACTACTACGACTAATACTACTACTTTGGGTTAGTAAACTGAGTAATGATGGTACTTTTCGAATATTAATCGAATCGAAGTGTTCTGAAAATAAAGAGATAATGATTAGATTATATATTCATTCAAATTGCATGTTCAAAACATTTTGTATATGAAACAAAATTCATTCATTTTAAAATTAGATTTTTGTATTTTATTCTTTATTGTTAACAATTATATCAGATTAAGATTTAAAGGGTATCGTGCCAATTCGTCGACTCATTAATTCTTTTCTTGACTCATCTACAACATTGGGGGTGGAGAAAGATGTTAATAAGGCGCCGACACTATAAAGTGTCGACGAATCAGGAAAATTAATTAACGTGTCGACGAATCGCGATACTGAATCATTTAAAGGTATGATGAAGAGAAAATGTAACAATATTCTATTAATTATAAAGTCAGAAGAATTATTAAAGTCAGAATTTGCAGATAGATTGTCTTATATTATCGCGTTAATAAGCCTTTAATGAGTTTTTGTTTATCCATAACGTTTGTGCCAAGGTTATTCTCACAGATTTTATCATTATTTTGCATCAAAATTTTTATCAATAATGACTACATTGATAAGAAAAAGCAATATACAAGTCTTATCACATTTGAGCAAAAGAGATGGGAAAAGAGAAAGAGAGAGTATTACTAAAAAGATTTAATGAAGAAGTATAAGTTTTTCAGTTATATTGTTCTCTATCTCTATCAGAATCATGTGCATGTACGTATAGTGTATGTGAATTTGTGTGTATGTATTTATTCTTTTTGTTCTTAACTGTATTCCCTTGTTGTCAGCTGTTTGTTTCTATCCTTTTTTTTTGTGAAACTGATAATAATGAAGAATAACATTTCTCTTTCACTGTCACACATCAGATGTTGGTTACTTTAAATAAAATAGCTTAAACCAAGAGAAATTAATTCCACAACCTTTTGACATTTATGCGGTTTGACATAATCAACATAGAATAGAACAAAAAAAGAAAAGAAAAAAGGGGATCAGTTTCCGTTTAGTACAATATTAATAGTAATACGTGCTAATAGTCTTCTCACCTACTTTCATATAATACGATATAAAAAAAAGATAAGATATGAAAGAGAGAATTTTATACTCTTTGTATGTTAATCTTTTAAGGTATTTATATGATGAAGGATGATTAATATACAAAAGATTCACTGGAATCGGTTTATGTCTATTAAGAAACAAAATCTGAGTATAAAAAAAAAAGAACAAAATTTTATTTACCTGGTATAGATATTTTATCTGGTGATGATTTTTGAAACTCGTATGTACTAAATTTCCATGATCCACTGTCTTGTATCGATAAACCACCACCAATACCACTATCTGTTCGTTCTGATTCATTGTAACTTGAACGTTTTATATGTGCATCATCATTCAATGTTTGAATTAATTGATGAATTGTATTTTCATTTTCGATGCCATTATTAAGTATTTGTTGATGTTTTTGGTTATGACCATTAGCATCATCATCATCATTATCATCATCAATATGATCTAATAATGAACCGATAGATTCGGATTCAGTAGTAGATGATACACTGTTATTATCAGCATACAAATCTGGACTATCTAATGATGATGTTGCCAATTGACGTTTTAATCGAAACGTGGATAATGGTGTCAAATTTTCATCAATCATCGACAGTGTAGAAAACGTTTGAATAGCATCAGTTTTTGTTAAATGAGAATCGTTATGTTCCAAACTAGAAAAATACATAGTGAAGCCACTTTTTCATCTAAAATAAATAAAATCCGATCATATTACTTAGAATTAGTTATTTGTTAAGATTATCACAGAGTATTTTTTCAGTTTAGAGTTGCTCTGTCGGCTCAACTAAACCATAAGGGTTCTAGAAACTGAGTAAGTAAACCTCGAAAGAAATGACAGTCATAAAATAAGTTATTTTAATAGTATATTCTAATACATATAAAATAAGTCTAGAGGAACTATTAAGTGTGTTTTCAAGGACTATATTCAGGATAATTCTAATTGCACCATAAATGAGTATTGATCATTTATTGACATTCTTTTTGACATTTTTTTTTCTTATCTTTTCAGATCTTAATGTCGTTTAAATCGAGAACGCTTCATATGTGCCCTATTTGCTTCTTCCAGTAAATTTGTCTTTGTGTTTGACATAAATTAGAAGAAAAAGAATGCAAAAAAGAAATGTTGTATTGATTATAATCAATCACAAAGCAGGAGGAAATAGCTACTAGCCGATTGACAGAATAAGATAAGGTAGACTAAAGTTATTTATGGTATAAACGATAATAAAAAAGAAAACGAAGGAAGGAAGGAAGGAAACCGCGACTGTAAAGTGCATTGACGTGAAAAAATATATAAGAGAAAACAATTGTTGACGCTAACAAATATTTAACTGATAAAAGTAAGTGTCATAACTAAAGTTTGAATAGTTTCACATAGAAAAAATCAAGTTCTCAAGATCTTTTCCTCGTCTGCTGAGTATTGAACAGGTAGAAACAAGACCTTGTCCTCTCAAACTCATTTATCCAGAAAAATAAATTTAAACAATAAAAATATTGTTACGTTTTGTATACAAATATCGGCTGATTGTTAGAAAAATCAATAAATAACACAGATATCAGTTGTATCTGTTGCTCATGGATGTTCATAAGAATGTTCGTTTTGGTTTCTTTACTATACAGCCAAGATATCATCAAAGACACGAGTCTCCAGCCGCAAAAAGCAAAATTCTAAAAAAATTTTATTTCATCTGTAGATGTGTCTCACTTACGACAATGTACGATATAGCCTACTTTCGTGTTGAATGAAATGAATTTCTATTAAAAGGAAAAGGAAGGGCAAAACAAATTTGCCAAGTTGTTGAACCGCGATGTTTCTTTCAAAGATGTTTTTTTTCCTTATTTTCCTCTATTACACAGAAGAACGAAAGCGTAACTTTGTAATTTTTATGTTTCTCTTAAGTAGAACATAAATGAGATTTTCTTTTCTTCGAGCGGTTTTGTTTTCTCATTGAGTTCTAAAGTCACATTGAAGGCTATAGTTATAAAACACCTTTTACTACAAGATTAATTCTTACTTACTATAACAGCAACGTATAGATAGATACTAACCTACTTGTTATGCTTGTACAGTTTTTTCTTTACTATATCTATATACGTCTAACATTTTAAGAAAAATGAACTTTATGACGAAGAAGAAAACAAAAACATGTTTCTCGCTCTTTCGTTTCTATTATTCACCCATCTTTATATATTCCTTTTTTAAAAGCGAGCCACGAATTTTGTTCAAGTAGGTCATATTAAGCTGTTATCAATTATTCACAATACAAAACAAAACGTAAATGCACTTTAATTATTATCCTGTTTACAACTCTTTTTTCTATTCATTCACAAGAATTATACGAATAGAAATGCAATCTTTACATCATTAGACAGTCAAAAAAAATATTGAGGGTCCTTATCTAGAACAGATCTTCCGATAGAAAGACACGTGTACTACACTTTCTAATTATTATCTCAAAAAACGAACTTTTTATGTTCATCCAATGATGACTATTTATATTTTCTCTAGAAAATTACACGTTCAAAGCTAAAAATCGATTAGAGTATTATTTGAAACTATAGTTATTCTTATTCTTTTTTGCTAAACATGAATTATTTACGACTATTTGATACGTATCTCTAAATGAGAAAGAATGTTACAAATAGCTTTCAGGGTGATGGATATGGATATCTGCCCTTGATAAGAATAAAGATCTTGAATTTGTTGTTATATTAAATTAAGGTTAACTGTAGAGGGATTGTTATGAATAGAATAGTAAAAATAAACAATGATCATTATATCCTGCTAGGGGAAAAAAATGTAATCAATCTGATTTAATGATTAAGATAACATACAGAATATTTTCTAGGCAGTAAAAAGAAGTGGCATGATTTCATCATGTAATTACTTAAAAATTCACAGAGAAAAAAGAGAGAACGAAAAATCTTTGCATTTGGGTGTTATTTCAACGTCAAAAATAGTCCCACCTGATTACGTCGTATAAGTATATACTGTTCTTCCAGAGAAAATCAAAAATCTTAAGTTTAATCGTGTATGGAAGGAAATTCAAGTCCATATTTAATAACTTTTTATACTTATCAAACAAGTGACTAGAAAAGACGACAAAACAGCGAATTGATCGTTTTATCAAATATTAAATCAACCAGTATCGTGAAAACATTAATCTATCTCGTTCTACCAGAAGTGACGCGATGGAAGTGAGTAGTATTCCCTCTTCTTTACAGCACTTACTCACATTTTGACAAAATAGCAAGCAACAAAACGTCATCAAGTGTCAAATATTTTTACTCTTGATTTTTCTAAAATTCTATCCTTTTCCTAATTTCGACTCATTCCAGCATTTGTGTTCTGTATAGCTGAAATTTTCTACTAAAAATGACCTTTTTATATTCTCTTTGCCACACTGATAATCTGTATCTGAAGTGACAGTGTGAAAGTATCACATCTGTATAATTATTATAAAAATAGAGTGATACGAAATAACCACAAATAGAAAAAGAAAAAAGAATTGTTAATAATCACTAACGATACGAGACTTTTTGACGTGATTTCATAGATGTTAATGAACAACAACAATTGCAGGTTAATTACAAAAATGTTTATGATATTTCAAGCTGTAGTGCGAATACTAATTTGTTATGGCGATAAAATACAAATTATTGTAGTTATTATTCTATAAACGATCATCAAATTATTTTCTATTGACGATCAGAAGAATGAAAAAAAAAAACGTTAACAATCAATAGTAGCGCTCAGAAATGGAACAATTCATGTCAAAATGTTTTATGCGTGTTTCTCTTTTTTTGATAAATTAAATTATCTTTACATTCCGAGATTGACATTTGATAAAAAAATATTTCACAATTAGTAGCTACATCAATATTTCGAGATGCATTACTAGACGTCAAAAAATAAAATATCAGGCATCTTATTTTCGTCTCAAAAACATTAAAATACATCCAATAGCATAAAACTATATTGTTTATGTATAAGCTCCGCCAATTATTAGCTCACACTCAAAAAATCAATTAATACTAGAGACAACAGATATTTAAATAAAATCTAAGAATATATATAAAGTTCTATTTAATCTTAATACATCTATTTTTCATTAATACAATAATATAGAATCGAATAAATAAAAATTGAACATATTCCATACAAAAACTTGAACAAAACTTTTTTTTTCTTTTTTCCTTCAAAAGTTTATCGAAAAGCGGCACGCGTGCACACGTTTATTAAAGAAATTTCTAATCTTCTCTTTTCTTTCTATTTATTTAAATATAAATCAGGGGAGGGGATGGAGAAGAGAGAAAGAATGTGGACCCTCACGGCTGTATTATCAGGAAGCACCATGAATAAATAAATGAATGTACGGAAAATAGGACGTGTCGTGTTAACGAAACTAAAACAAGGATAATAACATAAATTTTTATAAGAATTTCAACATGTTTTGTTCAAGAGCATAATTCTATTTATCGGAAAGAAGACAAATAATAATTCTTATGTGGTTTTCTATTAATTCGAAACTTTTTGATCGTTTAACTTACCAATAACAAAAAAACAACTTAAAAATTAGTTGTGATAAGCCTAGTGGAGCTTGTAAAACGTTAAAAACTATCAGATAATAATAGGTTTTAGAATGTGATATCTCACGATGAAGGTAGATCTATCTATATTTTGAAGAATATTAATCATCGGACATGATTAACATTTTAGATTCTTCCTGAATGTGAATTAAAACTAATAACTACAAACTTCATAGACTTATACCAATGGATACTTACTTAACATAATTAACACAATACTATATTAAATTTTCTATTTGCAAAATTGATCAGTTTTCGTTCGCTACAAGTGCTTAAAAAAATCAATTTTTTGCATTTATGAACCATATACTATAAACCATAGGATATCTGACACATCTATCAGACAAGTGTGTATGTATGTATGTATACTCTAATCATTACAAAAAACTAATAGGATATAAGTTGAGCGCGGCCACTTGTACATACATACGTACTTATCGACACTAATCCAAATAAAACAATGTCTAATTATAATGTGCATTATTTATCACATTTAAACTTGAGTGGTTTTACCAACGAAGCCTTAATTTTTGTTGTATATATAGAACTCGAGAAAAAAAAGGTCATTTTGTACGTGTACGTACACATACTTGAATAGGCAGTTAAATAATCAAAAACTAACAAATACTATGGATTATCATAGCTTTTTAACTTACAAAGACAAAAAGATTAATTATATTATATTAACATTATTATATTAATTCTGTCTAAGATTATAAATGAAAAGAATGTATTTATATTTTTGAACAATATTCTGATGATACATTGACACTAATAATATTTTCTAATTGAACAACTTGACAGTCTTCATCATTTTCTGTTGATAACTCGCGTCTTTCCCATACTAAACAGACAAAATCTGTCGGATATTCTAATCCCACCATTGGATGATGCCAAACATTTGCATTGTAATTAATACCTTGATTACTGGTGGCTATGAATGCCTTTAATGTATTTAAATTTGGTCGATCATTTTGTTCATCGTTCAAACAAACAATAACTAGATAACCATTGCTCTTTGATTTCATTGGCACAAACATTTGTGAACTGTATTTATGTCGTTCCAAGAGTTTAATTTCAAAGGGAAGAATCGGTGTTGGTTGAACACGGAATAAACATAAATTTGACTTGGCTGGTGGTTCGACTAATGCAGTGTTACTCAACTGATGATGATAATTATAAGCTTGCTGATCTTGACATCGATAATTTGAAAGTTGAGCAACATAATTGAAGCGTTGAGCAGTATTCTGATTGGCTGTTTCAGTTAAACCAGTATTATCAATAGCTTCAATAACCTGACCTATAAAAGGCAGTATATATATTTTTTATTCATGTATAAAACGAAGAACCAATTACCGTAAGCTCTGAAAGAATCAGTAGTAAGCATCATTGTTTCAATCGTTTTGGTAGCCATTATGTCTATGTGTTAATCTAAGTTAAGGTCCTAGTTTCAATAACTGAAATCGTAGTATCAAATTTTTCATACAGTTATCTACAGACAACGATAACGTATAGAGAAATGATACTATATTTAGTATATATGAGAAAAAAAGTGATGGAAACAGTTGCTAAAAGTTAATAAATTCTCATTTATCTTTTATCCGGGTGTTGATATACATTTTAATGTTAAGAATAATGAAGATCATTGTTATATCTTGTCCTTCTAGACCTGAAGGGATCCCATTTCTTAGCAGAACCGATCTTTTCTGAACATATTCATCATTTTCCAGCGAAATACTTTCATGAGCTGATACCCTCAGACTACAATCTATATGTACA